TGCCGTGAGGCGGCAGATCGAGATGGTTCATCAATCGATCGGCCCCGCAGAGATGTGTCCCTGGCGCTACACCAGCACTTGCAGCTCACCTCGGTCGCGTGTTCACAGCGCTATGGACCCCCAATGATCCACTTGGGTTCGGAACGATTGACAAAAAATAGCTGAGTATACTACAAGCTAACGCCGTACAAAGTTTGAGAATTGAGAAGATGAGTGCAAGTTAGAATGAGAGGCACTTACAAGGACCCACCCACCCTGCCCACAAGCACACTTTACTTAAAACTAACGCACGCATAAAATTAACTTAAAAGTAACGCACGCATCCCACGAAGATTCGCCGACGATCCCTCGATGATTGATGTCTTCAATCTTCGCGTATACGCATCTCACACATTCACTCATTCATACTACAATGTATTACAAGAGACGCAACTTAAAATTAACTTAAAATTACTTAAAAATAGCGCATTAGTTGATGAAATCCCTCGATGGATGTGTTCAGTGATGACTTATTCATTACCTATAGAATAATTAGACGTAACAATAAAAAGAGGAGACAGAGATGCAAATGCAATGTTAGTAACTTTACAATGTTTAGGTATGCACAATTCATGCTAACATGCACAATGCAAAGTAACGTGCAAAATTCATATTAACATTTTCGGAATAGAAGTGAAATAAAATTCGAGTCGACTCAATAAAAATACACCTATAAAATATGCAATATACTTAAGAAATATTCGATTACTTAATTAAAATAAGAACCTGAAACATCTGAACGAAATTATGACAAACATGAATTATTAAAATAAAAACCTGAAACATACAAAAATAATTAAGACACATATGAAATATTAAAAATTATTTTCATAAAATTAAAACCTGTAACATACAAAAAGTAATTAGAACAAATATGAAACATTAAAAATTACTTACATAAAATTAAAACCTGTAACATTCAAAAATAATGAAGACAAATATGAAACAATAAAAATTACTTACATAAAATTAAATTCTGAAACATACAAAAAGTAATTAGAACGACAATGAAATATTAAAAGTTACTTACATAAAATTAAAACCTGTAACAT